TCAATCATTCAATCATTCGTAATCCTGCACTACTAAATCTGCAAGCACAATCCAGACGCAGAGTCCATCTTCCTGTCTCTTATACACATCTAGATGTGTATAAGAGACAGGAATGGATCTGAGAAGATGAACAAGTCCTATGGAGGGAGAGGGCACACGTCTCCATGACAGCACCGATAAATCTTCACTTGGTCCTCAATCAATCAATCATTCAATCATTCGTAATCCTGCACTACTAAATCTGCAAGCACAATCCAGACGCAGAGTCCATCTTCCTGTCTCTTATACACATCTAGATGTGTATAAGAGACAGGAATGGATCTGAGAAGATGAACAAGTCCTATGGAGGGAGAGGGCACACGTCTCCATGACAGCACCGATAAATCTTCACTTGGTCCTCAATCAATCAATCATTCAATCATTCGTAATCCTGCACTACTAAATCTGCAAGCACAATCCAGACGCAGAGTCCATCTTCCTGTCTCTTATACACATCTAGATGTGTATAAGAGACAGGAATGGATCTGAGAAGATGAACAAGTCCTATGGAGGGAGAGGGCACACGTCTCCATGACAGCACCGATAAATCTTCACTTGGTCCTCAATCAATCAATCATTCAATCATTCGTAATCCTGCACTACTAAATCTGCAAGCACAATCCAGACGCAGAGTCCATCTTCCTGTCTCTTATACACATCTAGATGTGTATAAGAGACAGGAATGGATCTGAGAAGATGAACAAGTCCTATGGAGGGAGAGGGCACACGTCTCCATGACAGCACCGATAAATCTTCACTTGGTCCTCAATCAATCAATCATTCAATCATTCGTAATCCTGCACTACTAAATCTGCAAGCACAATCCAGACGCAGAGTCCATCTTCCTGTCTCTTATACACATCTAGATGTGTATAAGAGACAGGAATGGATCTGAGAAGATGAACAAGTCCTATGGAGGGAGAGGGCACACGTCTCCATGACAGCACCGATAAATCTTCACTTGGTCCTCAATCAATCAATCATTCAATCATTCGTAATCCTGCACTACTAAATCTGCAAGCACAATCCAGACGCAGAGTCCATCTTCCTGTCTCTTATACACATCTAGATGTGTATAAGAGACAGGAATGGATCTGAGAAGATGAACAAGTCCTATGGAGGGAGAGGGCACACGTCTCCATGACAGCACCGATAAATCTTCACTTGGTCCTCAATCAATCAATCATTCAATCATTCGTAATCCTGCACTACTAAATCTGCAAGCACAATCCAGACGCAGAGTCCATCTTCCTGTCTCTTATACACATCTAGATGTGTATAAGAGACAGGAATGGATCTGAGAAGATGAACAAGTCCTATGGAGGGAGAGGGCACACGTCTCCATGACAGCACCGATAAATCTTCACTTGGTCCTCAATCAATCAATCATTCAATCATTCGTAATCCTGCACTACTAAATCTGCAAGCACAATCCAGACGCAGAGTCCATCTTCCTGTCTCTTATACACATCTAGATGTGTATAAGAGACAGGAATGGATCTGAGAAGATGAACAAGTCCTATGGAGGGAGAGGGCACACGTCTCCATGACAGCACCGATAAATCTTCACTTGGTCCTCAATCAATCAATCATTCAATCATTCGTAATCCTGCACTACTAAATCTGCAAGCACAATCCAGACGCAGAGTCCATCTTCCTGTCTCTTATACACATCTAGATGTGTATAAGAGACAGGAATGGATCTGAGAAGATGAACAAGTCCTATGGAGGGAGAGGGCACACGTCTCCATGACAGCACCGATAAATCTTCACTTGGTCCTCAATCAATCAATCATTCAATCATTCGTAATCCTGCACTACTAAATCTGCAAGCACAATCCAGACGCAGAGTCCATCTTCCTGTCTCTTATACACATCTAGATGTGTATAAGAGACAGGAATGGATCTGAGAAGATGAACAAGTCCTATGGAGGGAGAGGGCACACGTCTCCATGACAGCACCGATAAATCTTCACTTGGTCCTCAATCAATCAATCATTCAATCATTCGTAATCCTGCACTACTAAATCTGCAAGCACAATCCAGACGCAGAGTCCATCTTCCTGTCTCTTATACACATCTAGATGTGTATAAGAGACAGGAATGGATCTGAGAAGATGAACAAGTCCTATGGAGGGAGAGGGCACACGTCTCCATGACAGCACCGATAAATCTTCACTTGGTCCTCAATCAATCAATCATTCAATCATTCGTAATCCTGCACTACTAAATCTGCAAGCACAATCCAGACGCAGAGTCCATCTTCCTGTCTCTTATACACATCTAGATGTGTATAAGAGACAGGAATGGATCTGAGAAGATGAACAAGTCCTATGGAGGGAGAGGGCACACGTCTCCATGACAGCACCGATAAATCTTCACTTGGTCCTCAATCAATCAATCATTCAATCATTCGTAATCCTGCACTACTAAATCTGCAAGCACAATCCAGACGCAGAGTCCATCTTCCTGTCTCTTATACACATCTAGATGTGTATAAGAGACAGGAATGGATCTGAGAAGATGAACAAGTCCTATGGAGGGAGAGGGCACACGTCTCCATGACAGCACCGATAAATCTTCACTTGGTCCTCAATCAATCAATCATTCAATCATTCGTAATCCTGCACTACTAAATCTGCAAGCACAATCCAGACGCAGAGTCCATCTTCCTGTCTCTTATACACATCTAGATGTGTATAAGAGACAGGAATGGATCTGAGAAGATGAACAAGTCCTATGGAGGGAGAGGGCACACGTCTCCATGACAGCACCGATAAATCTTCACTTGGTCCTCAATCAATCAATCATTCAATCATTCGTAATCCTGCACTACTAAATCTGCAAGCACAATCCAGACGCAGAGTCCATCTTCCTGTCTCTTATACACATCTAGATGTGTATAAGAGACAGGAATGGATCTGAGAAGATGAACAAGTCCTATGGAGGGAGAGGGCACACGTCTCCATGACAGCACCGATAAATCTTCACTTGGTCCTCAATCAATCAATCATTCAATCATTCGTAATCCTGCACTACTAAATCTGCAAGCACAATCCAGACGCAGAGTCCATCTTCCTGTCTCTTATACACATCTAGATGTGTATAAGAGACAGGAATGGATCTGAGAAGATGAACAAGTCCTATGGAGGGAGAGGGCACACGTCTCCATGACAGCACCGATAAATCTTCACTTGGTCCTCAATCAATCAATCATTCAATCATTCGTAATCCTGCACTACTAAATCTGCAAGCACAATCCAGACGCAGAGTCCATCTTCCTGTCTCTTATACACATCTAGATGTGTATAAGAGACAGGAATGGATCTGAGAAGATGAACAAGTCCTATGGAGGGAGAGGGCACACGTCTCCATGACAGCACCGATAAATCTTCACTTGGTCCTCAATCAATCAATCATTCAATCATTCGTAATCCTGCACTACTAAATCTGCAAGCACAATCCAGACGCAGAGTCCATCTTCAATAAGACCAACCAAGTCAGACCTGCAAGTAAAACCACAACTGTGAGCCATCATCATCATCATCGAGTCAATATATAACAACATATATAATATATAGCAATATATATCAATATAATAACATATAAATAAATACATATATAATATATAACAATATAATAATATATATATTATATAGTCAAACAGATCTGCCCGGTAAACAGTAGGCAGAGAGGGAGAAGAGGACAAATAGCAATATATATAAGTATAATAACATATATAATAAATATATATATATATCCTGATGAGTCGGTGAAACTCCGACGAAACAGTTTGTCACAGCCCCTCGTTTGTTGTCCTCTTCTCCCTCTCTGCCTACGGTTTACCGGGCAGTTCTATTTGACGATATATATATATCGTCACAAACAGAACTGCTATATTGCAAGGAAGATGAGCAATAGCAAACTTCAGCAATCAAACAGCATCATACGTATGAGTCCTGATAGTCGTGACCTCGAACCAACAGCAGAATTGCATCACGAGATTCACCAAATAAGAACACACCAAGAGTTCATAATTGACAATGCTGAAATAGTCCCATCATCATCATCAACGAAGAACCAGAGTTGATATCCTATCTGGCGCTCGGCGCCCAGACTACATGTGGCAGATCCTATCTAGCCTATACTACAATGCCGAAGTTGACGACAACAGCTCCCCCAAAGCACGAGCATACAGCGACCAATGTCTCACGCTTCCAGCACCAGGTATGTCTCTCGCTTCACTCACAACCTCGTTCCCCAACACACAGATGCCACTAGCACCCAAGGACCACCCTGCGCCACACCCAGCTCACAGCGGAGCAGCTCGGCTATGGCTGCCCGCTCCTTCCTGCTCACCCGTGAGAGCGTGAGTGCCAGCCAGCAAATAGCGCAGCAGCGCTTGCGCAGCATGCAGCCAGCACCTGAATGAGGAATGCGGAGGCAGGCCCTTTGCTATATCGAATTGGCCTGCCTGCGTCCAGTCCCAGGAAGCTTCCAGTAGGCCCCGGTAGCCTGAGGCCCAGTACGATCGAGAACAGGCCTGGGGCCTGGGGTGGTTGCACGCACCCAACTGCCTTTGCATGTGTTTGGCCCAGTACCCGTATCCAGCCCAGGGCCTGCTTTCCATACATTCACACAGCCGGCCCAGGGCCTGGATTCTCTTAACCAACTGGCGCTGCACAACTGCCTGAATTTCCGAAGTTGCGCAGAGGCCGAAATAAGGCCCTGAGGGGCCTCATCGAGCCAGCCTTCATTTAGGGGGGCCGACAGGCTATCAAAAAGGGGCCGAATGGGCTCATAGAGGCAGTGGCCTCGCAATATAGTCAAACAGAGCTGCCCGGTAAACCGTAGGCAGAGAGAGAGAAGACTCAGAAGAGGACAGCAAACGAGGGGCTGTGACAAACTGTTTCGTCGGAGTTTCACCGACTTATCAGGAGGCTGAACCCTATATATAATACTCAAATATTAATCATTGATTCATCATCATCATCATCATTGCCATCGTCGTCGTCATCATCATCATCATCATCATCATCATCATCATCATCATCTTTGATGCACAGAGAATGTCCAACCCGGATATAGCATTCCCAGTCAGACCAGAATACACTGCTTCAATCACTGTCATGCCATGACCGAGAATCTCCTTCAAGTTGTCCGCCCATCACTGCCTTTGCACATATCCACCCTGCTAGCATCATCTAACGCACTTTGAATTTGGTCAGGGTCAATTCCACTTGCACTGGACAACTATCAATGCAATCAATGCAATTATAGACCCTAACTCACAAACCGGTCAACACACCAGAAGATGGGAACGCAGTTCAGCACACCAATCCTAAGGTTGCAAGCTGATTGCACGAATTTGGTCGACCACTCGAATCGAAAACTGATGATACATCGTCTAGGCATCCAATCCGATTACAAACCTGCAAAGGAAGCTGAGCAGTTCCGATTACAAAGAGTAGCACGTATATAGTATATACACACCTGCATGCTTATAACATGGGAGGGATGTCCTCGGGTTACGCCAATGCCCTTCCGTCACATAAATATTGAGTGCACAGAGGCGTTCCACTCACCGAAGTTAGAGCAAACGGTTGATAGGTATTCACTCACAGGGTTATCAAATTCCATCTCCATTATGCCAACACCCCTCCTCCACATCGATGTCAAGAGATTCATTCCATTCTTCAAGATTGATCCCCGCATAGCAAGCCGATTTCCAGGCATCATTCTTCTCATAATCCCATGAACAGGGATAATGAGCAGAAGCAGAAGCAGAAGCAGAAGCAGAAGCAGAAGCAGAAGCAGAAGCAGAAGAAGCAGAAGGCCACGACGGACTTCTATCGCCACCTGCATTGTACTCCTTGGCAGAAGTCTTTCTGCAATTCTCGGTTTTGAGTGTGCCCGCGGGAGCCACAGCGGTTGAACGAGATGTGGAAGGAAGTGCAGGTCCATCGGGCCCGTGTTCTGAGCCCTTAGTCGGGTCCTTGTCCCCGATAGGCATGTCTCGTATGCTGCTCCTGCTGGATTGCTTCGTTATGGTAGATGCAGCAGAGCTAGTCCCAAAGCTACCCTTCACGGACATTTCGTGTTTCATGGCAAGAGCAGGCTCGATGACCAGCTTCTCTCCAACCACCTTGGCAGGGGTTCCGGCAACCATGCTGTGGGGTGGGACATCATTGAGGACCAATGACCCCGCGGCCACCATCGCTCCCTTGCCGACCACGATATTGCCAAGAACCGTGGCACCTGCACCAAGAAGCACACCATCACGGATCTTTGGGTGACGGTTACCCGCCTCCTTGCCCGTGCCACCCAAAGTGACAGCCTGCAGTAATGATACCCGATCCCCAATCACAGTCGTCTCTCCGATCACAACTCCCGTCCCATGGTCAATGAGAATCCCCCGGCCGATCTTTGCCGCAGGGTGGATGTCCATGGCAAAGACCTCCGAGATGCGACTTTGAAGCGCTAGCGCCAGCACCTGCCGTCCCCGTTCCCAAAGCGCGTGGGCGATTCTGAATGCCTGCAACGCCTGGTAACCTTTGAAGTACAATAAAGCGTAGTGATATGACGTGCAGGAGGGATCTCGATCCTTGACAGCCTGGACGTCCGCACGGATAGCTTGTCGCACATAGTTATCGCCTAAAAGCACATCTTCGAAGATCTGCTTAAGCTCGGTGGCCAGCAGCGTCGGGCTCTGCAGGCGATTGGCCAAAACGAAACCTAGGGACTTCTCAAACTGAGGGTGAGCGAGAATGCTGGCATACAGGAAGCTGCTAAGGAGGGGTTCTTTCTCAGCCTCCAACCGTGCTTCTGCTCGGACCGCCGCCCAAATTGGATCATCGGAGATCAGTTCAGGAAGAGCCATGGCTCCATCCGATGGCAGGCGCGCTGCAGAATGGGCCGGTGCACCCAGCGTAACATGACGCCCAGTGTTATCTCCTGCTGGGGGTGAAAGGGTGACAGCTTTGACCTGTGCAACTGCATTCACAGCTGCCATGGCGGCCTTTGCTGCCGCAGCATCGTTCACTCCCTTCACTCTCTTCTTCGACTTCTTCCTGCCTCCACCACTTCCTTCCGCGCTCATTAACCCACTGTTTGCCACGTTGCTACAGCCGTGGTTGCTATTCCCCCCTCGTCCCGGTCCCTCCCTTTCTTTGGTCCCTCGAAGCCTCGCTTCCTCGCTTCCTTTTCTCCCTCTCGTGCCATCTCCACTGCCCTTCTCAACCCATTCCTCAACAATCCTGACCTCGCTCCCCTCCTCCCCCTCCTCCGCCTCATCATCCCAGGCCATTAAAAAATCATCTTCATTGCTTTGCATGTAAGAAGGAAAACCCTGGCTCCACTCCTGATCTATCTGTGTTACATGTCCGTTTAGCACAATCCTCTTGTGCCGTGCCCTCTCTGAAGCAGTGCTTTTGTCTGTGCTACTGTCATTACCTGCATCTCCTCCCATCGTCCCACCATTTTCACCGCTGTCAAGAGTGGGCTCAGCGCCCCCTCCATCGCCTTCACCAGCCCCACGCTTTTCCTCATTTGTCACTGTGCCACCCCCTTTTTGACTGCTCCCTGCTGAAGAAACACTGCAACCTTTGGCATGAAACGTCTCTGCCACTCTCCAACCTGTTGAATGGACCTTCTCACCAAAACCCATTTCTGACAGGAACGACCTATCGTGATCATCCAAGCCCTCACAGCTCTCATAACTCAGCCAATCAATTTCTTCCCCCGTTGTCTCCTTCTTGTCTTCGCTGCAACACTCCCTCCCATGGAAGTCCTCTTTCTCAACTCCCTCCTTCCATGTTTCACGCCCTGCACCCGATGTCTTCTCTAAACAATTTCTTCCTCCTGCGAGCTCGATGGGGGCATACTGATCACAATGTCGATCCTCCAGCAATGTCTCTCGACAACCCAACCCATCATCTATTCCTCCTCCTCCTCCTCTTTCATCACCCTGAGCAACCCCCTCCTGCCTGCGGACGGTCCCCACCGCACTTGCCTTATCATCATCATCCAATGGGCCGTTATGGACTCCAGAGGAGCTGCAAAATGAAGGAGACAACCGCAGGGACGACGCTCTCCTACCATTTTGTAGCCCCCAACTGAGCGGCCAACAACCCAACTTTGGCACCATCACCACTGCATCAGCAGAGAACGGGAGCCATGCTGGTAATAACGAGCATGCGCCTCTGGGGAAGGGAGAGAGCCGAAAGCAACAGGTGTCAAGAGGTGGAGAACCGACAAACGACTTTGCATGCTTCAGATGCTCCTCGTCAGGGGTGGGCAACTTGGGGTTGCTCGCATGATCCCCAAAAGGTTCCACATAAACATTTTGTCGTTTTGTTGCCTCTGATCTTTGTGCCACCATCGACACTTCCCGGCTAGAGCTTTTCCATCCAATACCTCGTTCCCTGAGTTGTAGACGCTGGAAATCATAACTGCTATCCCCCCGGATTTGGATACCTGAGAGGGGGGGGGATGGCCGACTCGTGCTGCTGCAGCTGCTCCCCTTCCGGGATTCGAATTGGTCCGTAGCCGGAGGGAGCCCACATGGCAATCCATCAAGTGCATGCCAACTCCTCCGCGTGCCGCACCAGCACCTGTGCAAATTAACAGTTACCTTGCCCGTGGGCGGGGAAGGCAGCAGTGCACATCGCTCCCGTGCGAGGATGGGTTTGAAGCTCCTCCCCAGTCCCTTACAAACATGAAACCCTAAACCATTATTTGTCAGATCCAGGGGTGCACTTCTTGCCCAGGACTGTCTGACAAGGTCACTCGCTGCCCAGCCTCTGACGTTGGCTTGCGCACGGACGAGAGGGACGGCCATCTGCACACACAATTTCACAATCCGTAAGGAAAAAAGGTAAGGCGAAACACAGCAAAGGAAGAGGGCCTGCAGACTGTCAGACGGTAAGCCCATGCTGGGGCCCCTTTTGGCCTCCCGCCCTTCGGGCACGGGAAGTGTCTTGCTCTGTAGAGTATCAGGCAGTACGCCCATAATGGGTTCCATTATGGCCTCCCTCCATCTGACCATGAAACTGATGTTGGCCATACAGAGACAGGGAATGCATCCGATATGGAAAGTTATTATTGGTAGGAGCGAAGTGCAGTTTTGCTGCTTTGGAGCCATGCTCCTGCTAGTATGTGTTTTGCTGCCAGTACGCTGCTTGTCTGTTGCCATGCTGTTGTACAGCTGCAGTACTGTCAGTCTTGCTGCCGCTACTTTGCTGAGGCTATGCTGCTGCTTGTCATATGCTGTTACGTTACAGCTGCTGCTATGCTTTTTTTTTTCTTTTTTTCTTTTTTTTGTTATTCCAGCTGATATGTCACTTCTATGCTGCCGCAGCTCCTGTGCCCTGTCATGCTCTTGCTTCTGCTCTTCAGCTTTTTCCTGACGTTGCTCAGCTAGCCTTCTTCTGCTAGCCATATGCTGCTCATGCGGCTATACTGTGACCGTGCTCTTGTTCTGGTGATGATGCTGGTATGTCGTCAGTATGCCACTGTGCTACCACTGCTGCTGCCTTTGCCACTGTGGCTGTCACCTTCCCTATTCTTCTGCTACTGCTGCTATGGATTAATGCTCTTGCTATCTCTTGCGCCGTTACTATACTGCTGTGTACTGCAGTGATGCTGCTATTCCACAGTCCTGGTGCTGCTATGCACTTCTTTAAAGTTCTTTTCATGTTGCTATGCTATGCTGCTTCTAATTCTGTGTTGTGCAGCTATGCTGTGCCTGTGCTGGTCGTCTATGTTCTGCGTACGCTAGTCGGCTATGTTGTGCCTTTGCTTCTGTCCTGCTGCTGCTGCTACTGCTGCTTCTGCTTGCCTCTGTGCTGCTGTGCTGCTGCCCGCGCTGATACGCTGCTACGCATCTGCTACGCTCTTGAACTGCAATCAGAACGCTGCTGCACTGCAGCTGCGTTGCTGGTACGCTCTTATGTGGTTATGCAGTTATGCACTTATGCTGATGTATGTTGTTATGCCAGAGCGATGGTGCTTCTATGCACTTGTGCTGGCGTACTAAATACATCTATGTCGCTCCATTGCTCCTGTGCTAAAGATGACGGGCCGAATTGACAAGCGATTTGGGTTCCCGAATGCCTGTGCGTGCACCCCATCTTTTTGGAACATCCGTTAAACTTGAACAAATGCAAAGAAGATAAGTCAGCATGGCCACTGCTCAACGATGACACACAATTTGCGAAATAGTCCCTTCAAAAAGCGAAAAGAAACTGTCACGAGACAATGCATACACCCAGAGATGGATCTGCATCCCACAACAAGGAATTAGTTGCAATGTAATGGCATTAGGAAGATGACTTCGGCCCTCGCCCACCACTCAACAAATGTGCAAAATGAGCATGAGTCTAACGCTAGAACATAGAAACATACAGGCCATAAGTTTTGCCTTTCGTGCATGCGGTGAGTGGTGGAGAGAGGCTCTTTGGATCGCTACATGAGCAGCCGCCGTGCCGCTTTTGTGGGACAAGAACATGTCATTGACAGCCCCTTGTGTTCATTGCAATGAAATTGTGATTGCAAGAGACAAAACTCAAAGAAGTAGCACGTCAGCTGTTGCTGCCGTTACCCCTATGAACTGCTGCTGCGGTCTTTGGCTTTCTGTCAACACTTGAATACAAGAGTGCTCGGATTGTTGTGTACTTTCTAGCTGTTGTGTTGGTATGACTGGAGAGTTCGTGCTTTCACTCTCGTCAACCCGGCCTGTAGCACTGCAACCGGCCGAGTGACCGCGTACAGTCTAGAATGCTACCGGTACGCAACTGCGAACTGGCCCAGCCATATATAGCGCTGGGCCTACTGAGAGCTAGCTTGGTCTGAATCCTGGGCCGTCCGATCATACCTCCAATCGACGGTCCAGGACGCAGGCCCAAGTCCTGGTCCTGATGGTCTGCCTGGGTCCCAACCGGACGTCCAGGCTCCTCTGCTGCATCAGCAGAGGTATCCCAAGATAGGAAAAAACAGGGGCTGGACCGAGATGTGGGTCAGCCCCAATCTGAGACCGTCAGGCCTGAAAAATGGCCGCTGGGCCTGAAACAGGCCTGAATGGTCCAAATGACACAACGGGTCTGGTCAAAAAACGAAACGACACATCCAGACCGGACAAGACCGGAAAAGACAACACAACTCAGACAATACGACTCCCAAAAGAACCAAACCTAAAACACACTCCCAACCCAAGAGCCTAGCTCAGTGGGTACACCATTGAACTGTTGAAATACAGACCCGTGTTTGAACCTAGATGACGGAACTTGACGAATAAACCCAAATATTTCTGAATTTCTGAATTGCCTGGCGCCGGTCAGCTCAATGATGATATCTCAAGACCGCGGCCTCCTTTTACAAAAAAAAAAAAAAAAAAAAAACAATCCCACGCCTTCCTAGGTCCTATCTAACCTACCTACCGGTAGGCCCCAAAGAAACGGCTGTGGCCCTGCGATCCGCACGCCTGTGCGGACCCAGGCTCATTCTGGACGAACGTTGGGCCCTAAGGGGCCCGTTCGGGAGCCGTAAATGCCCCCAAGGCCGAAGGCGGGCGGCAAATGATTGCACTGGTCGTTCCGAGCGCGGGATTAATTATTTGCTGCCCGCTGTCCGGACTATTGCATGCCCA